ATTATTCCTACTATTGAATATCACTTATATAATATCATTATTAATCAATCTATCTACAACAAAATTTTCATTTAGCATATTGGTCTTATTAAGCTTAAAGTCAAATTTTGTTATACAATACCTTTTAGTATTCTATTATATCTCCAAATTTACAACATTAAACATATTAAAATATTTAACTACAATACCACATTTCCAACCTTCTTAAATGACTTAACAATTCTGACTTACTAGATACATCTTCTTATATACAAATTCAACAACTCCAAAACAATCTCTGATCTTCTACTAATATTTTTCTATATTCTAAGCCAATTATTGATGGACCCAATCACTTAACTACAAACTTCAAAATAATACAACTTATTAAACACATAGGCTGGACTTTTTTAACTAGCCCAATCTATAACATTCTATACATTTTATATAATGAAACTATTTCTTTCACATATTTTTTTTTTCTTATCCAAAATTTTCTATTTTTAAAAAACAACTTAGACATCATAAACTTCTTTTTCTGAACCAACTTATTACTTATAATAATTCATATTTACTATACTGGCAATACATTTTATTCAGATTTAACAAAATTTCAAAAGATGTTATACCATAATAGTTTACTACTCTTAAAAATATTACTACAAATCACTCTTATCAACTTATTCTATATAATTATTATAACTTACTTTTTGTAAACTATTTTTGCTACTTTACTAAACACTTTATCTCTAATGCTAAATCTTGGCTACTTACTGTTTTTAATAACCAAATAATTATTAGTACAGCCAGAAGGCATAATACACCTACTAGTTTTACTCTCATTAACTACTGACACTGCTCATTCTAGTCTCAGTTCTCTAATATTTATAATATTCTTCTCTATACTACTATATTATATACTAAATATCATCTTAATTTAAATACAATTGTTAACTAATATACTATTTTTATTTCGACTAATCTGGCTACTAAGCTATATTGTTACATTAATCTTGACAAAACTTTCAATCTTCATGCAAACTTTTTTGATATTGCATATTCTGTTGCCTTTTGATATTCTTTATATATTCTACTTTCTTCTTTACTTACAATTAACCTACAACAACTATTTTTTATTTTTAAATTATATCAACTTTTTAACAACCTTCAGACTATTGCTAACTCAAATCACAACCTATCATCTATTTCATTCTATACTGATGGTTCTGTTATTGATTTTGATATCTCTCAATGCTTTATAGACATAGGTTAGATTCAAGTTAACAACTCTACAACTATTAACTTATTTTAGATATAAGTAAGTTTTGGTTATGTTTTTTCAAAGCTAAAATTCTTACTATTCTTTTAGCAATTATTACTGCTCTTAGACACTACTTTGTTTATATATTTATTAACTTACAATTAGTAATTTTCAAATATTATAATATTTGCTAATTAGCATCTACTCTTTCTTATACTCATATTTTATACTTTTTTATTTGCTAAACTCTTATTAACTTTATCAAATCTTATGACATTCAGCTTATTTTTTACAAAATTACTGCACATCAAAATGATCTATTTAACAACTTTGCTAACCAATTTGTCTATAATTACCAAATATTATTTTAAGAATCTTAACTAATAACCCTTATAATTTTAATTATATTTTTTTTATTAATAAATTTTCTATTAAAATTTCTATTTGATGCTCTATTCAAACTATATGCCAAGTTTATATTATAACACTCTGGTCATTTCAATACTATTTTCAATAATGGTCTACTATTGTATCTGATATTAACTGAGAAGTTACATAGTTTTATATTAATAATAATCAAAAATCTCTAATTTTACTTATAACTTTTACTTATTTATTCTAAAAACCTTTTAAATTAAAATTCTTATAAATAAATTTTCTATTCCTTATACTCTTTACAAATGTAACTCTTCATTTTTTTCTCCTATTATTAATGCAACCAAACTAGCTCTTCATTTTATTGGATTATTTGTCTTTAACTCAAACAATGTACTACTTAATTTCTAATTCTCTTAATAGTATTTTAAATACAACTACTCTTGATATGTTTGCCAATCTTGTCTCTAATTTATATATGAAATTCTTACACTTAATAGTTTTAAAATACACAATTCTTTATATATACCTTCTCTTATTTTTACTTTATTTGATTTAGTTCCTACTGATCTTATTTTTACTATTCATAATATTTCTATTTCTTATCATACTGCTACTACTCTTTCTATTAAACTTCTTCTTTATTTAAACTAATAAATATACAAACAAATATGAATTCTATATTATATTTCATATTTTGCACAGCTTCAAACTACACTTTTTACTAACTTAACTTATAGTTCTTCTTCTAGTTTCCTTTACTCTTTATTTCAATACTACAAATTATTACTAAAATTGATCTTTGGACTATCCAATGGATTAAAAATTATACTTCTCTTTTTTATATTATTATGCAAACCCAAATCTAAATAAGCCTTGCCACTCTTGTAAATTTAGATTATAAATTATATGTTAGAGTCTTTATTTTTCATATGTAATTTAAAAACAAGCTTTTTTTTGTAAAAACTTCAATTGAATTTCAATAAAGTTAAAGGCATAACCTTACCACTAATATTTTAAATAAAAAAAAAACATAACTGATTAAAAAATAACTGACTTATTATTTGACTGGTGTTAATATATTTAAATTAATTATTATATCTAAATTTATAAATTTGGATTAATCTATATTTATATTCAAATTTAAATAGATAAATCTGAATTTATTTTTTATATAATATTTATATTCAGATTAGAAAATTAATCAGATTATAACTCAATTTGTAACAGCACTTATCTAATAATAACTTACTTAATTAATTGTATTATTGAAGCACAACTTCTATTTGTTTTTAAAAGATAACTTTCCTATACATCTTACTTATGCAATAACTATTAATAAGTCACAAGACCAATCTGCTAAATATGTTGGCCTAGATATTTAAACTCCAGTATTTTCTTATAGACAAATCTACATTGACCTTTCACATAGTTCCTTTTCAAATTATATTAAAGTTCTTTTTCTTTAAGAAAATGTTAACAATATAATAGCAAATATAGTATATCTCAAAATTCTATTAGAAACTTAACAAAAATAGTTATAAAATTTAACAATTTTACTATAATATTACTTAGTCATAATTATACTATATGTCAATATATCAAATAAATAAAAAAACAACATTATTAATATAAAGTATTTTTATTATTTACCTATTTATAAGACTAACAAATTCTCTTAAAAAACAATTATATTTACAAAAATTCTTTTATACTATTATCTCAAACTACTAATTTATTAACCTTACTTCTAAACTAATACTATATCTTTTATCCTTCATACTATATCAAAATTTATTTCTTTATCTTTCAATATTCATCAACAAATAACCAACCATCACATTAGTACATAACCTTTCACTCAAACTGTAAACAACAAACACAATAAATTACCAATTTTCATATCAAACAACTATCTCTTCTTTTCTAAACCAAATAAAAACAAAAATTTACATACTTTACAAAAACATAATATGATTTTATTCCCATTTAACAAAATAATATCACTTTTTAACCATTATCTAACTACTAAAAAAACATAATAACAACATATACAATAATAACTCTTTAACTATTTAAACTTCTATATCATCAACAAAAAAACTCATTTTTCAACAAACTTTATAGTCAATATTACCTTCTAATCCGTGCTCAACGGCACGGGTTTTCACTAGTTATAAATAATTTTGTTTAATTTTTTAAGGTGTAATGGTAAAATTAACCCAGGGACATATTTCACTTAGGGTTAAAAATTACATTTTACAAATTTACAATACATGTAATTTCACATAAGTTTTAATAACATGTAAATTTCACGTGATATATAGTACCAGTGCTATGAAAATTTAGCAGCATTATTAAACTTCTATAAAATTTACTGATCAAATCGATGCCATATGATCAAGGCAATCACATTAAACCATATAATAGAATGATCACGTTTCTTACAGATTATAGTAATTTCCACTTAATGAATGACTACGATTTCATCAGTAAAAATTCGAGTAATTTTGCCTAAATTTTTGATCGTTAATCAAAATAGTGAATTTCTTGTATGGCAAGGTTTAGTCGCAGTAATTACATTGTGTACATCCTTGCTTAAAGTTTCATCTTGTCTACTTTTTGTTAAATTATTCCAAGTATCATGATTACCATGCATGCTACATTTATTTTTAAAAAGAATGACTTAATAATATTTATATTTATTTATTATAACAAAGAAATTTTTGGTACGGAAACAAAAAATACTAATGGCAAAAAAGTAAGTTCTTATCAAATATAAAATACATATGTGAAATGGTATGCAAATAAATAAATAAATTCTAGTTTGGAATTAGCTAAATTTGTTAATGCAGGCCAGATATTATATTAATGCTAGCCAGATGATATGGTAATGCCGGCCAGATAATTTTATTTTGGGATCATATTAAAAATCCCGCACGTTACCACCTCTACATTTAAATAATTACTATTTTAATAAAATAACGAAAATTTGAAAATTTTTAAGATATAATATATCCAGAAGTCATTATAATAAACTCGATGAAAATGGGTAACCGTCTTTTGCTTTTTCATTGGTTAAAATTGATTCATCATCAACGTCGTTGGTTCGTCAATCATTAACTGTTTTGTCAGGCATGCAATTTGACGAAACCTTTAGTCAAGCAACTTTAATGATATAAAAGTAAAAAATTTATGAATTTAATTATTAGATTACTGAATAAGATGGAAGTTTCTTCGCGCACTAATGATATTAATAAAATAAAAGATAACTAATGCATTGAATATGAGCTAAATTTATCATATTAGGTAGCAACTTATTTATATATATTTTAGAAACAATAAGTGAATTGTAAATAATTTTAGAATTTTATGACTTTTTAACCTGTTCAAAAATCCATTGAATGTAACTCTGGATAACTTCCGTATTACCATAATCATTATGCACTATTAAAATCGAGATGAAAAAGAGTTACATCAGACAATAGAAATATAATAATAATAAATAATAATAATAAATAGTACCTATACATACGTTCATGATAGCGACCTTCCCATTCACGGAACATTAAATTAGCGGATTTAATCTTCGCGAGAAATCGTTTAGAAGCATTTATTTCAGTAACCTTGTCATCGGAACCGTGAGCAATATACATTGGAAAGGACATTTTTTTATAATTATTTTTCAAGATAGAGTTTTCACTATCTTTCAAATTTCCAACTAGTTATGTAGAAATATATAGGCATATAGTTAGAATAAACAACTTTAAATATTAATGTAAAAGTTCAAATACTTACGTGTAAGTATGGACACCTTACTACTAATTAAAGCATCCTTTTTGTATTTTTCAACTTGAGCTGGATCACGAGAAATATATTCTGGATTCATATTACTAACTATCATCGTACCATCGGTAATGTTATGGGGGAATAACTTGGTAACAATAGGAAGAAAGGATACTCCGACACCCTGTAATATAGGCATAGTGTAGTGTGATAGTCGAATCCAAGGAGAGCAACTGATATAACCTGCTAAATTGTGCCTTTCATCGCCTTCACAGGCGTAGCGTAAGGTAAAACCACCTCCCTATTAGTTAAAAATTGGAATATGTCATAAATGAAAATTATTCATTATAATATTTACAAATCAGATTTTTTTTTTTTAACATAAAGTAAAAAAAAAATAAATGCACGTGCATAGAGCTAATACTTTATCATGTTTTTATATCCGGATTTATTTTATATTCGGATGTATCCGGATATAATTACTATGTTTTACTATAAATTTTTAACAAAATGTCAATCAGGAAATATTTATATCCGGATTGAAGCATTAACTCTACACGTGCGGCTTAAACAATGGATTATAAATTTACCATACTATGGCCCATCAAAAATTGAGGAATTCCCTCTCTTCGTTGAGATGTTAAAGCATGAGTAATATCGGCTTCAATAACTTTCCAACCACCAGAACTACCATGATTATTATATTTTACAGCTGTTTCACCGAAACTACGTTGATCATAAGCAAAAACTTCAATATTATTTTTTCCGAATTTATCAAATACATGATTATAACGTTTAATATGTTCTCCAAAACCATGAATGAATACTACTGTAGCAATAGGCTTATCGGATACTGCCTGAAATTAGCATGAAAAAATTGCCAGTTTTAATCTATATATATATATTAGTGAGAATGCAAGTTAAAATGTTTCAACGATTTTAATCGTACCTTCCAAGTTCTAGTATAATATTCCTCACCCTCTGGAAAATTGATCCATTCCTCGATAACTTTAACAGAGGGATCTACAGAAACGTCCGTAAAGTTTTTACTCATAGTATATGTATCAAAATAATAGATTAAATATTTTTACAGAAAAAGAAGCAGAAAAAATAACCTACGCTAGAGACTGCTATTAAATATAAAATTTTTCTTTTAACCTGAGGAATTAGGTATATGAATTGCAGGTTTGTATAACATGTAATCAAAATAATCTCTTATCAAGTAAAAAAATGACATGTATAGAAAATAAAAAGTGTAACAATGCAAACGGCTTCTCTTCTATTAAATTTATCTATTTAATGATTGGTGCTATAATTCAAATAGTCAAATGTAATAATGTAATAATATATAAATATTTCTCATGTAATAGTTTGTTTTTATAAAAATTAAATCTAAAGTTTTATTATTAGATCATCAAAATGAAAAACTCTGATTATAATGATTATATATAATAATATTAGGGAATTGATATTTATACCCCCATTTTTGATATTCGTACCTCCTATTAAACAAAAGTACTTTAAACCGACATTTTTATGAAGTAAACCTCTTTAATAGTTTAAGCAAAGTTGTTCCTCAGACTTTTCTGGCTCTAATGATAGTAAAACCATTATAATTAGTTTAGAAATTCTTGAATTATTAATATTTAAAGTTAACAAATATTAATTAACTTTAGATAAGAATTACTAATCCAATTTTAACGATTTTACTATAATTAGAACCAAAGTGGTATAAGGAACATGTTTACTTAAGATACTAAATAGGTTTACATAATAACAATATCTACTTTAGGGCACTTTTTGTTTAATAAAGAGTACGAATATCAAAAATGGGAGGTAAGAATATCAATTCCCTAATCTTATTACATGTAATAAAGACATCATATTTTGTATCTATGATATTAAAAACACGATAAGTAACGTATTATTTATATCTGCATAAATAATTTTTTCGAAAAGTATTACACGCATGTGATATGTTGGAATGAATCCGGTCTAGTGATGGGGAAAATGCGCATGAATTCGCACGAAATGCTTCCCATCTCTAATCCGGCCACATGTACCGGAATTGAATTTATTTAAAGAATGTATATTCAATAATTTCATGTCATAAATTCATGTTTTAAAAGAGCATACATGATGTACAGTATAAGTGAACCAGGATATGTACCCGGAAATAGCAATCAATTGCGCCGGGTATCCATAGCAGTGTGGTGTAGCATTGCTGGTGGTTTCCCGCCTGCGTAAAGCAAGCCAGCCGATAAAAGAACGTAAGCAGTTGCTACGAAAATGGCAGGATTCGAGCTCTTCCTGCCAAATATGTTTGTGGCATTGTTCATGCTTTCTGGTTTTTTTTTTTTTTTGTGAGTGGGTGGGACAGGGTCGCAAATAGGAAATCGCAATGCAGTTAGACATGGACGCATACACATGCTTGCGTTGTTATATATGCTATTATACTTAGCTTTACTTGTTGAACCTTGCTTGGGGGCCAACAATTATCTCATGGTTACCGAATTCGGAAGCTGATATAAAGTCACCTAAACTTTGACTACCTTTCCTCATGATGATGATCTTTATCTCCTTATTCGGTATTCATATTTGTCAGTCGGTTCTAGAGATGGGCGCGCGCGTGATCCCGCGCGTTATGCGCGAAATTTTAATATGACCCCAAAATAAAATTATTTATTCGGCATTACATATCATCTGGCCGGCATTAATATAATATCTGGTCTGTATTAAAATATTTAGGTTGATTTTTAAGGGAAGTTTTAAGAAGAGTTGACCCAGTGATCATTGCAATATCACGTGACAATCATTTGGCCTAGTTTAGAGTTTGGTTAAGATATAGTTTAGTCAAGTCTGTTTAATTCTGGTAAGCAAATGACGTCATGATATGTTTATCATGTGATCTAACGTGTCCCATTTCTAATACCAGGAACAAATGTACTGAGTTTATGGAATATATCAGATATATGCTGTTTGAAGTGTGATTTGTCCACAAAATCTTAAGTTTGATGATTTATTCATCAATTTTTTGGATATGTAATTACAGAGTATAATTTGAAAACAAAAATGCAAACATAAGCAATGTCGTAGTTGCGATAACTAATGATAAAAAAGCAAGAATTTTAGACTCAAAAATGCGGCACATCACTAAGTATATGCCCTAGCGCTAGCCCGTGAGACCTTAAATGGGAAGGGTATTACAAAATTAGAATACCCTCATATTAAGGAGGCTGAGGAGTATTTGCATGCATATAATAAGATAAAGTACTTAATAAAGCGCCATATGCGCACTAGCAATCATGCTAGTAAAAAAAAAAAAAATTAAAATAAATTTAGCTTATGAAAGTGCCTTCTGCAGTGATGGGACTAGAGATGGGACACTGAGCAGCCTGCGCAGTATTTCACTGCGCAGTGCAATTTTCATAATTCTGGTCAGCTGGCATAATTCTGGCCAGCTTTATAATCCAGGTTTGAATTACCA